GTAGCCTAAGTGAGGACAGTCTCTCCCTGTGCAGCTACCCTTGGAAAAACTGAAAAGCTAATGGTCATCAAACCACTTTATTGATATATACGAGGTGTCATTTGGGAACAGGGGAGATTAAACGTCCTCTTTATAGGGGAAAGAGTTAACACCGTTAAAGCATCTCTTGCTGAAGTCTGTGGAGACATAATATTGGGAGATGCACAACTGCTTTTTTATTCCTTTAACATTATTACCAAAGATGAATATCCACAACAGACTCTTCCAGATACCTGGAAAACATCAGAGAGGTCTGTTAAACAAATACGTCAAAGATGTAGCTCATACCATCGCTCAGGGGTGTTTTTTGTGACCAGTGTGGGTAGCTGGGAATCTACTGGCAAGAGCACGTTATGCTCCACACCCCTGCCGCCTTCAGGAAGATCAAAATGGTCCCCTCCCTCTGCATCGGCAAGGAAAGGATCAGAGTCTGGGTCGTATTCATAGGAGTAGTAGGACACCTCTGCCATAGAGCCCTGCTCCTCTTCGCCTGGAGAGAACAGGGTTAGTGAGAAACACAGACGCAAGGTAGGTGAGATAAAAATGAAAGTTCTGGCTGTCATGGATACTCTAAAAATCTGTCCTGATGTAAATATATATATATAGTTGGTGTTGTACTACTACACTAAACTACAGGGGGTGGTAATGTGCCACGAAAAACACATCAATGTTTCAGCACAGGGATGAGGAAGACTTTTAAGAAGTAAACAGTGATGTAAACTGTGAGAAAGAAAAATGTTTTTCCTGCAGGATGCAGATCGTAATCTTGGCTAGCAACACTAAATCTAAACCTAACCCTGCTGGCTCGCGAGACAGCTCCACAGGACACCTCTAATATACTGCACATCTGGACCTCTTGAGGAGCAATACCACATCACACACAGCAGGGGTCGCACCTTGCTTAAAATGTTGTATCCTCGTATAAGCGTGCTCGGCTTGAATCGGTCTTTTCAAGGTATAGCTTTATGAAAGTTCGCTTTATTCTGAGTAGCCTGCAATCGGAGTTTCCTTCTTTGAGGCCTGCAGCACATATGGTGAGAGTTAAACAAATTTAAGACAAATATGATGGGGGAATTTTGTCTGTAA